TACTTGCGTATTTCGGCGCCTGATGTGGTGAGGGCATAATTATTTGATTAAGAGAGTGGTTTGATATCGTTTAAACAAATGTATCCCATTGCCAGGACGATCCGGATTAATGTACCTTGACCGAAGTCCTCTGTTTAAGTAGTCATGATAATGGAATTGGTGTATTCTTAGACCTCAGTCAGTCATACTAATCTTAAGGCCTAGCTACATCTCGTCAACGGGTTGTCATTGCTACTCAGGATGACAAGGTTCATTGAAGCTGCCGATTAACCGTCTGGGAATGTACCAAGTTCACGGTCTGACGCTGTAAGTTAGCATGGCTATTATGAAATATGAAGTTGGACAAGATGCGTTCATTATGGTCGCCAATACCAACAAGACCGAGTTGCAAAAACGAGGCCGACCTACTTCAATGCCACTAAATGAGACTGCGACCAAATTAAAGTCCACACCATCTTGACCTTCATATCTGCGATTGACTATATGAACCTGTATGCAAAACACGCTCACACTTTTCCACTGCCTTATGAGTAGTTCGTCTGGTTAGGCAAACTTCCCCATGAGTAGAATAAAATCTCCAACTACTTGCGGTTCTGAGTCAGACAGACGAGCATTAGAAGACTTCCGATAAACTTATATTTTAGTAGGGCCCTAGAGAACTCTCGCCGCTTGTTCTCCCATCGAGGCATAAAAATATCAGTAATATGAGATGTATTCACCCAATTTCGTTTAAGGTGATGAAGTACTGATAGAAGAAGAATTTTCCCACAATGATATGAGTAGAGCTGACGTTTCCATTGAATTTCACATGGCCTTGCTTTCGCAACAGTTGTTCTCATCCAGACAGAAGTGGACTGCAGTTTCGACCTCGCATCGGTCTTATCAACACCTTCAGCGGGAGTCGAACCGTCTCAGTGCAGAATGTGAGCTCAACTAATATCATTGTGGGAAAATTCTTTTTCTACCAGTACTTCATCACCTTAAACGAAATTGGGTGAATACATCTCATATTACTTATTTACTGGTAGTCACGAAGACAATACTTAATTCGAAAAATAAAAATATCATTTTAGGCTAAATCAATTCTGCTGTTTAGTAACTAAGACGACTACAGCTACTCAAGGTGAATTGACGTAAATATATGCCCTTCCATCCAGGATGAACTGCGATTTCTATTTCGCCAGGACACCCCATGAACAGCGTTTAATCCGAACTCAAATGGGTTAATCAACCCCCTTCTACTCATTTTCGATATAAGTAGTTTTTGAGATAAGCAGTAATTCTCTAATAAGAGCTTAATCCCCCTAAGTCGCTTGAAATGATTTAAGTACTTATAATCAATAATTACTGAAAATATAAAAAACTATTTATATCAAAAACAAGTAAAGTCTTCGTATAAACTGGCAAAAATATATTTGCCGAATTGGCAATCTCATTATAGATGTGATTTTGGTAACCTATGGACACCCGTGGCAGCCTAATAGGCTAACAATGTTGCCAGGATACTCACGACCTATATTTCGTTTTAAGTAGGTTTTCGAGACTATCGATACCTCAAATCTATGAGTTATGTTTACCTATTTCGTTTAAGGTCTCGAAAACCTACTCAAAACGAAATAAAGATAAGGTTGTCGATTGCCATAGCAAATATACGTTTGTTTCATCAACAATCCCACGACAGAATGTGGCATGGGAAATACCCATCTGCCTTATGACCCAAGACACCCGGGACAATGTGGCGTGATGGTTACCGTGTCGAGATTACATGCTACATTATCAGGGTTCGAGTCCCGCTGGGGATGTTGATAAGACCTCTTCAAGATCGAAACTGCAGTCCACTTCAGCCTGGATGGGAACACCTTTTGGGAAAGCAAGGCTATGTGAAATTGCATGGAAGCGTCAGCTCTACTCATATCATTGTGGGAAAATTCAACTACCAGCCCTTCATCACTTTAAACAAAATAGAATGAACATTACTCTAGACTTTGGGGGGATGAGTATTTGCAATTAAATGGTCTCTTGAGACCGACTCATCTGCTTGTGGGCGAACTCAACTATCGGTCCCTAAATCAACTTTGGCGGCCCGGGCTGACTGCACACAGGTCATTGGCTTCTGTACCGAATTATAGATGTTTAACATGCTTTCATGAGCCTATCACTGAAGTTGTGTGATGAGAAATTAGTGGAAACATTTCACTTTTATGACATTGACGTATCTGTTGACTGCTTATAGAGGATCAAGAGGGCAGGCATTCAGGAAGTTAACCTAAATTGACGTTAAAAGTATTACTTTGTTGTAAATTTGTCACTTTGCCGGCCAAGGTTTAGGCATACTCTCTATTTCATGGACAGTGCGGAAACAAAACAAGACAAAACAAAAACTGGAATACCTAGAGGAATGCACCTTGTCTAAAGTCCATAGTATGAAGTCGGAACGTAGACTTGGTACATTCCCAGACATTCCGCCGGCATCGTCAGTGAAACTTGCCAGTCTTAGCACCACACAACAACTCGTCAAAGAGGCCAGTAAAGTCGATGATCCTTTGATCAAATGTCTGCTAAACAGTTGTGGTATCTCTCCGCCTATCCTCTATCCTCGTAACGCCCCTTCACTATCACAATTTCCTACTTGCTCATATAAGCCTAGTTGAGGTGTGCTCAAGAGCTACCACAACGGTTTAGCACACATTTGGTCAAAGGATCGACTTCACTTGTCTCTTTGACAAGTTGTCGTGTGGTGCTGAGCATCACAAGACTCACTGACGATGCCGGCCAAACGTCTGGGAATGTACCATGACCACTGATGCATACAATGGACTCCGGACTAGGTGCGTTCTTCTAAGTCTTCCTACCAATATGACCGAGTTGCCAAAACAAGGTCAAACAAATTCTATACGTAAGGAGATTACGACCACACAAAAGGCCACACCAGCTCGGTTTTCATATCTTATATTAAAGTAAGCTGAAAGGCAAATTTCATAGCCTAAACATAAGTCCAAGGGCAGCCAATCACAACAAAGTGTTTATCACTTACGACCATAACAACTGATAGATTCGTCCCATTTCCGATGGCGAATAGCCAGCCACTTGCGTAACCACGTCTCGTGGCAAAGCCCTTCACATTTGCGGACTTGTAGGAGAGATTGAGTGGACAGTATCCAGGCCGGTTGCATACAAATACAGGCATTGTTTCTAACTCATTGGTCATGCACACACGCCAACAAATCAGATCCTATCCCATTAAAGTCATATTAGGGTTAAGTGGAGCTTAAAATACGTCGTTTTTTCGGCCATTCGTCTTGACTTGGTGTTGCTCTGAAGCTGCCCTCAGAATACTGTCTTGCTCTGAAGACATGCCGGACAAAACACACGAAATCCCAGCACTAACGCACCAATACCAGGGCGCCAGTCAAAAACAAGACCCGCCTAAGGTTAGAGTCCTAGTCTAAGCATAGACGAGAAGTACCAGAACTATTTATTTTTCATTACACAATTGCTTATTTATGCAACTTATAGTTGACTATTTATGCCTATGTTGCTATATTATTTTTATTACTCACGTGCTGGACCAATAAGTAGTTTTACTCTACCGATATTATCTAAGTCAGGCTAATGAATAAATTCACTAAATTTCAACTTCTTAGCCTCAAATTACCTAGCGCGGCATTTACCCGAATTGGTAAATTCTAACAAAGTCCTCATTTGTTATTTAATAATCCCAATCGCATAGCAACAGCATGAGAAGAAACGCCCGTTATGTGCATGCAATGCATTTCGTTGCTACCTAACATTCGCCCTATAGCAGTACTAATTAGAAGTGTAGTCCTAGTCCCTCCTAGTAACGCTATTTTTCGAATCAATTGGCCCTATAATAATTATTATTGCTGATAAGAGATAAACATGACCAATGCTACCTTCCGTTATATCACTTGGATTCCATATTTTCGCTTTTGCTGCTATATCTTTTCTACTACTAACGCGTTGGACAAATAAGTAGTATCGGATCTATCCATTTGAATGCTTCTGATTATTATGCCACCGGCAAATGCACACTGTCTCATTGGTTTCGTCTATTTTGAAATCCTGTATGCGTAGTATTCTTTGTTCGTGTAGAATTATAAAGGTGGGGACTTTCACTAATTATAATTCTGCCTACACTCCTTTTATTGAAGAGACTATTTAAAATAATCTAGTTTTGAGGGTAAAGAAGTTGCTACTGTTTGCAGGGATCCAGGAGTAAACGTTTAGTAAAAGGGTAATCACACCTTCTTTCTGTATAATCACATCGTTGAGACCGTCCAACAAGACTCCCGGACTGGTACTGGGACTGTGAAGAGTCAATGATCCAGCGCGTCAAAGAGAGTCGAAATACAAGGATCGAGTAAAATCTTCCCGATGATTAGTCCTTTTTTCAAAATTTCTTCTTCTACTTTCTTCAAACATTCGCTGTTTGGCATGAGAGGGGTTTCGAAAGATTCTTTCTAAATTCGCTATTTGCCCTAAAGCTTGCCGGCACAAATGACATTTTGGCGGTTCAAACCCCGAGGAGTTCTGCTCACTCTATCTAATAAATAGGGAACTCGAAAAAGGGAAAATGTAGACGTGGGCACTGGCTGTGGATGAAAGTTCCTAATTCTTCTTCACAAACATTGATGCCGGGGCAATGCCCTGCCGAGGAAGCTTCTGCATTAGTTTGTGACCCTTCTTGCCTAGTAACGAACGCATCTTCCACAGCCAGAGCTTATAAAGACATGAGTCTAATTGGGTCTTCTGTATGCATGAAGATAGCCCATCCTGTGCCCCCGAGGGGTCAGTGAAGAAGAAGAATGGTAATGTGAAATGTGCTTCCGGAACAAAGAGGAGAGACCGTTTATCCCATGAGATCTTCGAACTCCTCTTTTCTTCTTCTTCTCCTTCTTCCACTCCCCTCTGTGCCTCTTTTTTCCACGACCCTGATCGAGGGTTGAGACTACTTTCGGCCAGATTTCGTCCACAGCCGTGCTTATACATTTTGGCAGAGAGAGCCGTTCGTAAGCTCCCACAGAAAGGGCCATCCCCCCTTTTCCTGCTTGGCTAGGGTATGGCGAGATGAATGTGGTTAGTGAATTATAAACGGGTATGAAAGAATGACCGGGAAAGTGGGAAGGGAACGGAAGATGCATCCTAGCCATTTGTATGGACGAGAGGGTGATGGAAACGAGAGCGTTGTGGTCGTTTGGTTGAAGGAGAGAATAAAACTATTCGTGATTTTGAGCGTCCCTGTCCACATGTGCTTGTGTGTGTGTGAGAGAGAGAGAGTGAGTACTTATGAGATTGTTTCACAGAAAGCAGGTGAAGTGCTGTCTGAAGAGGGACGTTGAAAGGGACTTCTGCCTAAATTTGGGCAAAAGAGCGGCCAGTCTGGGGCTCACTATCTCGCGGACAGTTTTCGACGGAGCTCTTAAGTCGTAGACAGTCATCGGAAGCAGCCTACCGTCAGCGGGCAAAGTCGGTGTTGGGACGATGGTATGAAGGGGCAGAAGGGTAATTGTTGTGGTGTACAGGATTCATGAGGGGGTGGAGAATGGCAAGAACATGTGAGAGAGCTATGTTCGTCTGAAATAGGAATGGGGCTTGTAGAACATAGGACGACGATGCTGTGTGTGATGTGAAACAGAGTGTTGGGAAAGAAGAAGTATTTGTGACCGGAAGGAGGAGTAGAGTTGTCTGTCCTTTTGGCATACTAATAAACTGCTTGTATGCTCATCCTGTGGTTATAGTTGTAGTTAAAAAGGTGATGAAATTATTGCTCATTTTTCCCACCTGCCGACTAGGATAAGTTTCCTCCCTACTTTGTCGATTTCTCATCTCCCATTCTCTTTTTCATACTCGCTCTCTCTCTCTATCTCTCTCTCTCCTCTATCTCTCTCTTGCATTTTCCATTTCGTCATTTCTTTAATTTATCTGCTCACTTCCGCTTTAAAGCCAGCCCCTATTCTCTGTAGTTCAGAATGTAAA